ACTGGGGTGTTAAACAGAGAATCATTTTTGCTTTAATATGGGACAAACAAATGTTCTGTTAGTTAATGTGGTTTAATTAGAAAAACTCAGTGAATCTCACAGACAACCTCATACAGCAGTCTCTCAGGAGGAGAGTTTAGTCACTCACACAGAGTTGGACAGATCTGTTCAATAACAACATTTTGAACATAATTTAGGTTTTACAGACCAAAGTCTCTGGTAGTTCAGGAGCAAAGTGCAGGAGGAGATGTTTGGACTGATCGCTGCAGCAACTCCGGTCGAGCTGGTCCGCTGCTTCAACCAAACCTGCTCTCACTGAAAGTCCCGCCCTGCTCTGCTTTGATTGGACAAAACGGCTCTGGACTTCGTCTGATTTGTTGAAGGCAGTGTCCATTTAATCTTTATATCAGGGTCCCGCTCTGGCATACCGAACAACAATCCATTCACACCAGCGCCGCTGGATTCTTTTTAAATTTTTTTAAAGAAATCAGGTCGTATTTGCGACCAAACTGGTTGCACTCTAGAGCTCTGCTAACTGTTGTTTTGACAGACAACCAGGTACAATCTTAGGTACGCAAGGGAGCTTTAAGACATTACATCTGGTGCGCTTTTTCCTTTTTTGACTGCGCATGTGCACCTGTGCAATGCTTATGTGCCACTCTGAATATAAGGCCCTTTTTCTGCATAAATGAAGACATTCTAATGTATGATGTAAAAGGTACCACCTCCAGGGTTCTGACTAGGAAGTCAGATTTCCATGACTTTACGGATGATTTCATCATTTTTCTTCTTCTTACTGCAGCCAGGGACAGATGCTGGCTTCTTGAGAGGGGTTGTTCTTTTTCGTATAGGCTTTGCTCTTTAAGGCTATCTATCATAAATTAGTCTCTTTGCGCACGTGCACAGCACTGACATCCTGCAGTCCACACCCACCTGCTGCGTGGGCCCCACCCCGGTAAATTGGCACCGAGACCAAGRTTTAACTCCACCATTTTGAATTTGTGTGGCATTAGAGGCGTTTTCTGCATGCATCACTGGTTGGCAGACTCTGCTACAGCTTTAAATGTAGCATAAATTGTCTTCAACCATCCCTGAAGACATGAGGCAAGAGTAGGGTTGGGTACCAAAACTCGGTTCCAGTAAGGCACCGGGGCGAACATCCACGGTAGTACATGGACCGAACACAACTCTAACTTTGGTGCTTTATTTCGATGCCTGAAAAAAAGCTGTTAATTTGCGCCATCTGGTGTTCACTATATAAGGAAACTTTATGTTCAGTGCCAAACCGATTAATACCTTTAATCTTAGGGTTGTTCCGTAAAGCCACTGCG